AAACTTTTTTCATCTAATTTTCCTGAAATGAGATGAGAATGTCCCTTTTATCTTTTTCTTTTGTTTTGCTGAGTACATGATGGGCTCTTTTAATCTGGATACTTAAATGCTTCAATTGTGGGAAATTTTTCTTTTATTACTTTTTATATAACTATTATATAATATTATCCACAGTCTTTATCTCTTGCTGAGATTTCAGCTATTCTGGGAATCAAATTTTCATGAACTGGATCTTTGTCTCTTTTCTCTAACCAAAAAAAAAAATTTTTTTTTTTAAAAATATCTTCAGCTTTCTGAGTAATTTCCTTGTGGTGTAAAAAATGGTGTGGCAGGGGCATCTGGCTTCCTAACTTCCCAAGAGGGAAGGAGAATCAAGATCAACAACCCAACTGAAGCAGAGGTCTGATATACCAGTGGCTTCAAAAAGTTCTTGGAAAAATTCCACTATCTTTTAATTCCATTTTCCAATAAAAATTTTGAAGCCTCTTTGTACCTCCACCCTCCACCTTTTTTTACCAGTTCAAAAGCAGCTGTCTTCCACAGCACACCTTACTGACTTCTCTGCTGGGTTTCATCATTCGTTACAAGGAAGGCACAGGACTCACAGACCATATTCATAGGTACAGGGTTTACAGGTAAATAAATCCTTGAGGCTCAGGAAGGACTCAGTGTACATACAGTGCTGACATCTGGATAGCCTCTTGTCATCCATCAGTGCAGGCCTTCTTGGCCCTTAACCACTCTGATCTTTTGGGCCCCTTGGCCTGGCCTCTGCCCTGCTTAGTCAAGTATTACTAAATTACTATTTAGTAATTTATTAATATTTGTAATTTACTTGACTAAGTAATACTTGTAATAGTAAGTATACAATTAAAGCTCTTTAGTTCTATCAATAACTGTCCGGGGCACCCCATTATGCCAGTAAGTTTTGCTTCTTTTTATAATGAATACAGGCACAGTTTTAGCACTGCAGGGTAAACACTGGACTATGGTTGGTTTGAGTCACGAGGTTGGCAGTTCAAACTCACTAGCCACTCCTCGGAAACCCTATACAGGGTCGCTATGAGTTGGAACTGACTTGATGGCACTTAACAGGCACAGGTAATCAAAGAATCTTGGTTTGGCACTCTAAGATAAGTATTGGGTTACTAACGGCAAGGTAAGTGGTTTAAATCCATCAGGTTTGAGCTGGAACCAACTCAATGGCATTTAACAACAAAACAGGTAATCAGCTAGTATGTTTTCATGTAGATAGATAAAAACACATCTATGACATAAAAACATTTTCTCACTTAAATTTAAAAAATTATTTTGGTAAGTGTTGTTGTTGTTGTTAGGTGCCATTGAGTTGGTACTGACTCATAGTGACCCTATGCACAACAGAAGGAAACACTGCCCCATTCTGGGCCAACCTCACAATTATTGCCATGCTTGAGCCTCTCGATGCTGCCACTTGGCCAATCAATCTCACTAGGCATCGTCCTCTTTTTCTCTGACCTTCCACCTTACCAAACATGATATCCTTCTCCAGCAACTGGTCCCTCCTGACAATTTGTACAAAGTATGAGAGATGAAGTTTGGCCATCCTGGCCTCCAAGGAGCACTCTGGATGCCCTTCTTCTAACACAGATCTGTTTGTTCTTTTGGCAGCCCATGGCACTTTCAATATTCTCCTCCAACATCATAACTCAAATGCATCAATTCTTCTATGGTCTTCCTTATTCACTGTCCAGCTTTCGCATGCATATGAGGTTATTGAAAATACCATCCCTTGGGTCAGGCGCACCTTAGACCTCAAACTGTCATCTTTGCTCTTCAACACTTTAAAAAGGTCTTGTGCAGCAGATTTGCCTAATGCAATACATTGTTTGATTTCTTGCCGCAAGTATTGATGGTTGATCCAAGAAGAATGAAGTCCTTGACAACTTTAATCTTTTTTCCGTCGATAAGATTGTTGTTTATTGGTCCAGTGGTGAGGATTTTTGTTTTCTTTACATTGAGATGCAATTCATACAAAAGGCTGTGCTCTTTGATCTTCATCAGTAAATGTTTTAAGTCCTCTTCACTTTCAGCAAGCAAGGTGTATCATCTGCATATCGCAAGTTGTTAATGAGTTTTCCTCCAATCTTGATGCCATGTTTTTCTTCATATAATCACTTTCTCAGATTATTTGCTCAGCATACAGGTTGAATAAGTATGGTGAAAGAATACAACCCTGTCACACACCTTTCCTGATTTTTAAACTATTCAGTGTTCCCATGTTCGAACAACTGCCTCTTGGCCTATGTACAGCTTCCTCATGAGCACAATTCAGTGTTCCGGAATACTCATACATCGCAATGTCCATAGCTTGTCATGATCCACACAATCAAAAGCCTTTGTGTAGTCCATAAAGCACAGGTAAATATCTTTCTGACATTCTCTGCTTTCAGCCAAAATCCATCGGACATCACCAATGATATCCCTCAATCCTTGGTCTCTTCCTATTCTGAGTCTGGCTTGAACCTCTGGAAGTTCTCTGTCAATGTATGATTGTAGCCATTTCTGTAATACCTTTAGTAACAGTTTACTTGCCTGGGTTATCAAAGATACTGTCCGATGATTTCTGCTTTCCGTTGGGTCATCTCTCTTTGGAATGGGCACAAGCACAGATCTCTTCCAATCATTTGGCCTGATTTGGTCTTCCAAATTTATTGGCATAGATGAGTGAGTGCCTCCTGTGCTGCCTCACTTTCTTGAAAGATTTCGATTTTTATTCCATCAATTCCTGGTGCTTTATTCTTTGCCAATTTCTTCAATGCACCTTGGACTTCTTCCTTCAGTATCATTGGCTCTGGAGCACATGCTACCTCTTGAAACAGTTGAACAGCAACCATTTCCTTTTGGTACAGTGACTCTGTGTATTCCTTCCATCTTCTTTTGATGCTTTCTGCATCATTCAATAATTTATCCAGAGAATCCTTCAATAATGAAAGCTGAGGCTTGAATTTTTTCTTCATTTCCCCCAGGATTGAGAAATGCTGAGTGTGTTCTTCCGTTTTCGTTTTCTGACTCCAAATCTTTGCACATTTTGTTGTAATATTTGACTTTTATCTTCTCATGGATATTATCCTATCACAGACAGCGTTGTACCTCATGACTGATCTTGACATGTTCTTTTTGACAATGAATGCAACACCATTCCTCTTTAATTTGTCATTTTGGCATAGTAAACCATGTGGTTGCCAGATTCAAAATGGCCAATATCAGTTCATTTCAGCTCACTAATTAATGCCTAAGATATCAATGTTTAGGCAGTCCATTTCATTTCTGATACTTTCCAATTTTCCTAGATTCATACTTCATACATTCCATGTTCTGATTATTAATGGATGTTTACAGCTGACTTGTGCCCCATCAGCAAATGAAGGTCTTGAGGGCATTACTCCCATGGGCTTTACTCCATTTGCATCATCACAGTCAACTCTACTTTGAGGAGGCAGCTCTTCCCCAGTCACATTTTGAGTGCCTTCCAACCTGAGGGGCTCATTTTCCGGCACTATATGACAGTATTTCTATGCTATTTATAAGTTTTTCAGTTACTAAATATTCAAAAGTAGTTCGTCCCTCCTTCTCCTAGTTTGTCTTCGTCTGGAAGCTCATCTGAAATCTGTCCATCATGGGTGACCCTGCTAGTATTTAAAACACCTGTGGCGTAGCTTCCAGAATCACAGCAACTCACAAGCCACCACCATATGACAAACTGACAGATGAGTAGTGGTTGGTAAGTGTTGGCATGTAAAAAAAACCAAAAAACCCTACATTATTTTTGAAAGGCATGATCTTTGAAGGAAAAAAAACCCTCAGTATAAGTAACATCAGTGATCTATTTTATAGAAGAATGTGTGAACATTGAAAGAAAAAAATAAGTCAAACTATTTTTAATAGCACGATATATGAGAGGATTTTGAAACAGTTTTTTTTATCATTAGTGGTCTAGGCTTTCATGATAAGGTTAGCTTGGCCTGTTCCCCCTATTAGACCTGTAAGCCATCTTTCCTCATGCAAACTGGATACTAGAGCTTGGGTCCTCCACCCTATGTCTTCCTAGGTGTTTTATATGCTAGGGCTAAGTGATTGAAAGGGTTAGAACTGAACTTTGAACCACAAGGTCAGCAGTTCCAGCCCACCAGTCACTCCGCAGGAGAAATGAGACGTACTACTCCCTCGTAGTGGTTACGAATCGGGCTGCGAACCTTAAGGTCAGCGGTTCGAAACTACCAGCCGCTCCGCGGGAGAAAGATGAGGCTTTCTACTCCCGTAAAGATTTACACCCTCGGAAACCCTGTACAGGGTCACTATGAGTCAGAACCAACTCCACGGCACTTAACAACCTCAAGAGTCGATCTGACTTGATGACAACAATAAAGTGCTTGAAACTGGGTAAAGAACACTCCAAATTTCTCTTCTGTGCTTCAAATTCAGCTAACCTTCACCAAAAGGAATAATGGGGGGAAAATTAGTCCCCAATCCAGCTGACGCTCCTTCGCATTCCTTCTTCCTTGAATACTTCGGTAGTTGATTTAATCCAAGCAAGAAAGCCCACAGGTCCACGGCGACACTATTCGCGTCGATTTGGAGGAACGCATGCGTAGTAGATTGGGGTCCTTTTCTGCTCCTCTCCATCGACGCCAGAGAGGTCTTTTGGGCGCGTGGAACTACAATTCCCAGCAACTTTCGCGGCCAGGGGGAAGAAGGATAGTACTACGCGAAAGAAGCTTCCGAATAGCGGGCGACGCTACCCTTTGCTCCTTTTGAAAGCGACTTTACGCCTCTTTATGCCTGCGGCGGCGTCGGCTGCGTCGACGCTAGCAGAGGGGCGGGGCGGGGCTGAGCTAGGTGGTGCTGGGCGGGAAGGGAAGTCGTGGCGGTGGCGGAGGCTGCAGGGACAGCGGCAGCGCTGGCACCAGTGGCGGTGGTAGGGGCGGCGGGAGCAGTGGTGCTGTAAGGCCGTCGGAGAAATGGGAGACCCAGGGTCGGAGGTGAGTAGCCTTGGCTTTCCCAGAGCCAAATCTCGGAAGGTTTTGTTTCTCGCCCGGCCTGCGTGAGGCCTGGAACTCGGCCGCAGACGCGGGGCCATACAGCTTCAGCATCTCGGGCCGAGCCCAGCTTTCGGGCCTGGTGCCTACCTGAGTGAGGAACCAGCAGGCAGCAACAATGGCCGCCTGGCTCCCTTCACGGGCTCCGGAGTTCCTTGTTGCCCCTGCTGTGCCCGTGGGCGCGACATTTTGAGACCAGATTACTCAAATAGTGAGCATGCATTTTTTTATGGGTAGTTGGGGGGATTCTTGGGGTGGAGGATGGTAAGTGGGTTTCAGCGTTCGGCCCACAAGGTTCCAAATAACCCACTTGTTCTTAGTGTGGTTCGCGTGGATTGTGCTCAAGCTTCCTCAAAACTGCGTGTTTTAAGCGTACCTTCCGGGAAAATCTCGACCTGCAAGTATGCAAGTAAAGACGAGCATGTTTTGGCTTATTTTTGTAGATAATAGAATCTGTCCTTCCAGCTGGACCTGAGATATCTGAGTCACCAACGGATGAAAATGAAGATGACATTCAGTTTGTTAGTGTGAGTAGCAATGATACTGTCCCCCTCCCCTCCCAGATTAAAACACTGGTAAGCCTTTATGTAGTTTCATACCTTACATGTTCATTCACTCACTGTTCAACCAGCTCTAGTAGCGTAGTGGTTACAAATCAGGCTGCTAATCTCAAAGTCATCTGCACTTCCACACTACCAGCCATTCCTTGGGAGTTCCCATAAAGATTATAGCCTCCAAAACCCTATGTAGGGTCTCTATGGGTCTGAACTGTGACTCCACGCCACATAACCACCACCACTAGTATGCATTAGCTGGCCAGGAGCTTGGCGGACTAGGAAATTTACAAAAAGTTTACTAGCAACAGCAAAAGCCATCACAAAGACCTTGGCCAGAAGTACATGTTGTATACTTCATCATGCCTTTTCTGCCTTCATTTGGAGCCATTTAACATTGAATTTAGACAAAATTCTGTTCTCTGAGTTTGTGATTTGGAGTGAGTCAAGAATATTTTTTTAGAAAAAAGACGCAGGAAGAAATGCATTTGCTCCTTATTGGGAAGAATACTAAGTAGGTAGGAAAGAAGTTGAGAGGAAAAAGGGATGCAAGAACTCAAAAGCTTAACTTTGTGTAGCTAAGGCATGACATAACATAAAGGGTTAAAGACATCATTAACCTTTGAGATCATCATGTTACAGCATAATACAGTTGATGTTTATAATGAGGATCCCTGGGACATCAGGGAACATTTTACTGAGTTTATTCCCTTTGTAGAGTAGTTTTCAAGGGTTACTATGTGCAAATGTGCAGATTCCTGGCCTTCACGCCAGACTTGTTTGATCAGAATTTCATGGGTGGGGTCTAGGAGTCTTCATTTTGGAACATAGAATCTCTGAACCACACTTTGAGAAACATCAGTTTGGAAATACATTTTGGGATGTGTTTTTTATCTAAAAATGTTATTTTTTTTTTTTGAATTATTGTACCATCAAGTCAGTTCTGACTCAGAGCGACTCTTTGTAGGATTTCCGAGGAGTAGCTGGTAGGTTTGAACTGCCAGCCTGCATTTAGCAGTCCAGTGTTTATCTTACAGGTATCTCAGCTTGTGAACCCTATTGTACTACTCAAACCACTCTATCTGGTATAATGCATTGGACTGCATGGTCAGTTTGAACTGCAAAGTTGGCGGTGCAAATTCACCAGCCGCTCCTTAGAAACCCTATACAGAGAACTGACTCAAGGGCACTTAACCAACAATAGTTAGTTGAGATTTTATATTAAAACTGTATAATGTTTCTTTACTAGAAGGCATGCTCATGTGTGTTTCTATTTGTTGCTTATTGTAACACTGGTTATTAAACACTGTCCTCCCCAACTTCCAACATTAGGGTCGTTTGGTGTTAAATTGTTTGGTGTTGCAGTTTTTAGCGTAGGAGTCTTCAAGATTGTTTTCTTAGCTTTCTTCCTCATTGCCAGTACATGCTGTATTCATTCCCTTTTTAATTAGAAATTTTCAGGATTGGGGGGCAAGGGAAATGAATTGTGCTCTGATCCTTCTTTCACTTTGGACTGCTGAAGTATGGTCAGTAACAGGATTTTATGACAACTTAGATATTTCACGTTCCCCTGAATTGTGCTATGTATGTTAATGTGATGTTTGTGCATGTAAAACTAGGAAAAACACACTTTGTAAATTATGGGTCTTTGTGAAACAGATGGAACCTATCAAGATATGTCAAAAATAAGTATTTTTCTAGTACTGTGAGGAATATAGAATTGCATTGCAATTTCTGACAGGATGAATATATAAGCTTGTGTTCAGCTGAGATTTAAAAATACTCTTAATTTAAATTTTACTTTACATGTAGAGAATCTTTTGTGTTTTTGTTTCAGGTGTAAATAATGTACAACCAATATTTTGTATATCCTACTTGATGTGGCCTATTATATTTATCCATAATTTCAAGTGTAAGTTTGGGTTTTGACCAAGGGTATTATGTGCATTCAGTGGATTACAGTTCTAGCCATAACCTATTAATATTCCCTTTGCTTTAAGTGATACTACTTATAAGATAATTAATGATCTTTTTTTTTTTTTTTTTAAATCCGGAGATCAAATCTACTATTTACCTTAGTAACCCAATCATATGCTTCTCTAGGTTAAGCTTATTGAGTAAAGATGAAAAACAGCTTCCTGCATCAGAGTTCTTCAGATCAAAAAGCATTATGATGTCATTTGGTTTACTCAGCTTTGGATTTCTTAGCCCTTTCTTATTCTAATTTCCCTACCTTTTATTCACATGATGAATTAAATCTTTTAAGGAAATTGCAAAATACAGTTAAGCTGAATACATGATGAAGAAAAGGAATGATAGAGATTTTGTTGTTAAGAGCTGTGGAGTTGGTTCCGACCCATAGCAACCCTATTTAGGGTTTCCGAGGAGCAGCTGGTGAGCTTTCCATTCAAACCGACTTTGCAGTCAGTACAGTGTATTTAACCCATAATGCCACAGTGCAAAATTGAGTCCATTTAGTTTAAATTTATTCAAATGTAACATACATACATATATAGTTCACAGTTATATGTGTTGATATTTTTTTGTAAAGCCAATAAACAGTGCCCAAATCGAGAGACAGAGTGTTAGCTATAGAAAATCTTTCATTTAGGTTTGTTCCTCTCATTTTCTGCTTATTCAGTCACCATTTTATGTCTGCCTTTGAAACTGCAGGTGTTTTAAGAAATTTTCTCCCTGAAAACTGTGTAGCTAAGAGCTGATGATAAGTTTGTTCACAGTGCCACTCTAGATATAAAGGTATAGATATAAAAGTACAAAAAGTACTCCACGAAAAAAAACAAAACAAAACAAAAAAAAAAGTACTCCACGAAACCTAAGATTATCTTGATGACAGCACAGTAGATAAAGGTTTCAACTGAAATTATTTCTATAATGTAGAATTATTCTTTGAAAATATGGGACTAGTCAAGGAAATCTATCATTTTATCAATAACAATAGGAGCTCATAGGTAAAGTGTGTAAAGTTTTGTAGTATATGAGATTCTGAGGCAAAAAATGTGAGCTTTTTTTGCCTGGATATATTGGGGCAGTAATTCTCTCACCAGCTGTCTTTTGGAAACCCTGTACAGGGTCGCTATGGGTCAGAACCAACTGGACAGCACTTCACAACAACAACAATTCTCTCAAGGTCTAAAAAGAATGTGCATGCACATAATATTAAAAACCCTGAATTAAGTCAATTCTGACTGCTAGCTACTCTGTATAGGGTTACTGAAGAACAACTGGTGAGTTTGAATTGCTGGCCTTGGAGCTCATAAAATCAGTTGCAAATATATTCTCAGTGTTAGGAAGGGAGATGAGATAAGAGGTGAGAACTATGTAAATAGCTCCAATAGAACTACAAAGTTCTTTTATAAAAGAAAGGGCACAGGATTTTCATCTTTGTTACTTTTGAATAGATAAAGGACATTTTGAGTAGAAAAAAATAAAGGCATCAAAACAGGAAAGCTGAGTGAAATGTGTAGTTCTAGAGGATTTTTTTTTTTTTTCTTTTAATGAGTCAAGGAAGGATGGGATAGACAGTATAAGTCTAGAATGCTAGACTAAATTTGAGCTCTAAAAGTAGGCTGTTAGGAGCCATTGGAAACCTTTGAACTCTACAGGATTGCCAATCTTGTAGATATAAGGGTTGGGAGGAGAATTATTTAGGGTTTTAGATTAGATTTTTGCATCTATAGCTAAATTCATATTCTTAGTGTTTTAGACTAGGTTAAACGACTTTCTTTGTAAACTGTATCTTAGTATGTTGTTATATGCCATGGGATCTGTCCTGACTCATAGCTGTGCTGTACAGGATTTTCGAGGCTGTAAATCTTTACGGGAGCAGAGAGCCTCATCTTTCTCCCGCGGAGCAACCGGTAGTTTCGAACTGCTGACCTTGAGGTTTACAGCCCGATTCGTAACCCCTGCGCCCCCAGAGGTCCTTTAACGTAATTTTCCAATTAGTAGGTAATTGGTGTTTTGACTTTGTCTGAGAATCAGTTTCTAATAACAGGCAGGAAAACTTTGTTTCACTGAAAAAAGTATATTTTAAACTTAGAATAGTTAATAGCTTCTGATACTATGCTTACATTTGTGCATCTACTCCTAAATTGTATGCCCTTTAGAGTAATATCCTTTGATTTTGTTGTTGGTACAGAGGGATGAGATTGACCATTGACGATTTAATGTATAGAATACATAATTCGAATAATAAATACCTTGTAATTGAAGGACCAAGGAGCTCTGGTAGCGTACTGGTTACGAATTGGGCTGCAAACCGCAAGGTCAGCAGTTCAAAACTACCAGCTATTCTGCGGAAGAAAGATGAGGCTTTCTGCTCCCGTAAAGATTTACAGCCTCGGAAACCCTGTACGGGCTCGCTTTGAGTCGGAAACGACTCCATGGCACGTAACAATAACAACAATTGAAGGACCACATGCGTTTATACTTTCTAAGACTATAAGTATTCATTATAACTGTGGAGATAATTATTTTAACTGTTTGGAAGAATTGATAACTTAGTTTTGGTCAATATTACAGTTCATTCAAAGGTGGGAGCAATATAAGATAGTTACTGTGTTCTTATTGGAGAAAGAAATTCTTACTTAAAAAACCTATGTAATGTTCACTTTGACATGTTATTTGTACTGTGAACTGCTGTAGAATTTTAATGACCACAGTCAGTTATATGTTTAGAGAACAGATGTATATCATTCAGTTTTCTCATCTCTTAAGTAAGGTACTAGTAATTTTGCTTGTCTTGTATGATAATTGTGGAAATTAAATGATACAGTGTACATGAAGAACTTGACACTATCCTGGTACAGAGCACAGTCAAACCAACAAGTTGCTATTGAATTGACATCAACTCATGGTGACCCCATGAGTGTCAGTCAGAGTTGTTGTTAGGTGCCATCAAGTCAGTACTGACTCATAGCGACCTTATGCACAACAGAATGAAACACTGCCCG